TTTTCGAAACGGTTGACACGATACCTCAAGTTCGATAATAGTTGATCAATTGATCTGAAAGTAGAACATCTTCAGCACGCGTTCTCTTGTTGTGTGAGCCAACATTTTTAACATCCCCCGCTTTTTTCTTATATTCTCGCCATAGTAAAGACGAAAGAATATTTAAAAGACCGATAATGTCAGTTCAAAATATTGTCTCGTTTTGTAAATAATCGAGATTATTATGTTACTTTGGTATTTGGTTCGCTGTTTCATGAATTCATTCAAAATGTTTTGATACGCGTACATTGCATAGCTTGCCAAAATAAGTTTGTACGAATTCATGAAATAATAGAATTGTATGAAATATAGCTTCATATAAAGTAATAAAGTTATATGAGAGATAATACGAAGATAAAATTATATCAAATACATTTGTATTAATACATGACAGAAGCTGTTGAAAATAACCACGATAAATTCTATCTTTTAGAATTGTGTTAATTATGAAGCAGCTAAAATGTCGAAGTAGACAGCGCCTTCAGAGTACTCGATGTGAAGTGATCAAATATTACAGAATTTTCATAATGAAGATCCTGAAGATTCAACTAACGCTATCTTATATTCATGCTATCTCTAATGTTTACTTCTGTTCAGTTTATCATTCATGATTATTGACACCTGTAAGTTTGTAAAATAGAAGAAAACCTGCATATTAATGCAAATTATTATTCGCGTTATTATTCCACGTTCATCTCGCATGGAATCTTATAATTCGATGCGAGAAATTTCTCTTTCCTTCAGACATTTATAAAACGATTGATGAAAATACGGTCTAAAGATCTGTGCCGCAATCTTCATCGAAGGGAGCAAAACAATTACCCACTCGACTTGGTGTTTTCAAGTAAACAGTTTGAAGAAGCGAGTCAAGTGTCATAACACGGTGAAAGGGGTCGGCTCGCGGCCGGGTCACGCGCGATAATAAAATTTGATAACTGTGGCAATTACCAATGCGACGGCGTGAAATTTACGTGCTTTCAGAAAGGACACTTTGACGATGCTGCATAAAAAACGGGGCGTCCTGATCCGCTAGAGCAATACAAACTATAATAATTTACAACACAATAGTTTTATATAATAACACATTATTTATATAGAATATTTTTAACTTATTTTTGTTGTAACTTTTAGTGTAATGAAAACATATGTTAAGTTTCGAACTAATCAACTTAATAATCAACCTAATAACAGTCTTCTAAATATAAGTGTTATTCGTTCTCTTTCTAAATCGAGAGAAGTATTTAATCTTCTGTCATCAAAATCTAAGGATGAAAATAATTGAAAACGTACGAGGAACAAAAAAATAGTCTCGTTTTATTAGGAAAATATTTAAGCGGAAACAAGCGCTAATCTGTATAGCTGTGAAAGAAATGGTAGTTCAAGGTGTCAATAAAAAAATAATGAAAGCAATAAAACAAGCAATTTCCACGTTGAATGTATCGAAAACGATCTCCTCGATGTAGTTTATTATACTAATCAGAGAAGATTTAAAGTGCCACTTCAATCGATGATTGTTCTGTTAACTGAATACTCGTTTCATTGATCAGCACAGATAACCGATTTATTTCATATGCTATAACGTAACTCCGTGTCCTGTGATAACTTTCATTGATCTGCCAATGAGGAGCCAGTTAAGATCAATGAAGATAATTATCCATCGACGATGGTATAAATGACGTTCGACATTATTAACTGGTACACTATAGTGGCCGTGGAGTAATCAGAATCAAACAAAGGAAACGTTTCATGACGAGTAATTTCTATGTTAATCAGAACAGATGGTTATATATTTCCTTGATTATTTAATATTGAAATTAACATCAAGCCATTTGTTAATCGCGACTATTGGATTATTCAAGTCATCCATTAATCACGATTACTGGATCATTTAGGTTGTTCGTTAACCATAATTATTGAATTATTTGCGTTTCCTGATTAATCCTGACCACCGGATTGTTTAAATTATTCATTATTCACGATAGCTGGATCATTTACGTTTTTCAATAATTATGATCGCTGGATTATTTGAATTATTCATTATGCTGGATTGCTGGATCATTTAATTTATTCAAAAATCACTTGAGCTCTGTTCATTATGTCGGAGTATTTGTTATTTACGAATCATGATTACTGGATTGCTTTGCAATGGTAACCATAAATCGTGAATGTATTTGCACATTAGTCACAATGGTTAATTATCGATTGGACCGCTCTATTTCCAACAGTGATTTTAAGCAATATCGATTTCTGTCGAGAGAGTGATGGAAATCAAGTACTATGGCGTAAATGGAATAAAAATCGCGCAAGCTGAAAGCTCGGGCGACCGTCATGTCACGGAGTGTGTTAAGGTGCAAACTGAAAACGGTATCAGCAACATTTCAAAGGAATCGCATTTCCTTTGTCCCTCTGTGTCTTGAGCACTCATGGCCCATGGCATTTATTCACATTGTTTTTCATCGATACATTCATCGAGTCACGTGTCTCGGCGAGCTGAGTCGAGGCTCCCTGTTTCGCTCTATTTAAGCACACTGAAAGCCCAATCAGAGTAGAAAATTACAACGAAGATCTGTTTAACAAAAAATGCTCCACTTTATGTTACAGTAAACAGATGATACGCTTCGGTATCCATTGTAATACGCACAAGATTTCTTTGACGATTGACAATATAATAATGCACCCGCTGATTTAATCTTAATTAGTGCGTACAACATGTAATGAAAACGTTATTTAACGAAAGCCTTTTTCTTCGCCGTTCTATCGCATTTTCCCTCCAATAATCGTTAATTATAAATCGCCTGTAGTAAATCAAGAGTTTATTGTCACTTATGTGTGGGCGTGTGTGAACATTGAATAGCGATAAAATCAAAAGAAAGAAGCGATTAATTTGTAAGAAAAGCGATTAAATCCTGCTTCGTGTGACTCTGTACCTCAAGTTTTTTATAGATTATAGTTCAAGATATTTCAGTGAGTTCGCAAGCTTGTATCGTTCGCAATTTTTAGTTACACAGTTTTTCATATAAGTGAAATGAAGAAATCGAAAGAAGACTATGGGAGAATGCGAAGATGTGCTGAATTTTATTTTTCATGTATGAAAGTTTTTATGAGATACGTATCATCTTATTTATTTCTATAACGCAGACTAATTACAGCCTATTAAATATCTTTTCGCATTCTAAATAAAAGATGCAAAAAGAAGTGTTAATCTAATTCTATATAAATCATTTGCTCACTTTATACGTACATATACGAACCATATTCGCGAACGCATAAAAATTAACAAAATGGTTGTACATAATCGTGGTAATAATCGCAATAAAAGTTTCGGGAACATCGCGGAGTTTCTGCTGCATAATATTGCATGATTTTGTGTTTTTGATTACCTTATTTGCGTTTCCAGGTGAGCAAATATAACAACCGTCGCAATTAACTCAGAGTCTGGCCAATTTTAATTGACAGGTTAATCAACGCCAATAAAATGTCCAACATTTTTGCTTTTCTTTCTTATTTTTTTTTAAACGTGTGCACTGCACGTTGAAGATGATTATTTTGTACGAAATTGAATAACGTATTACAACTGTTTGTAATATTCGACGATGTAATTCCGTATTTATTTGAAAAGGCGCACCAAGAACAGTTTAATTTATCATTGTATTTGTACAGAGAGCTTGAAAGAGAGTTTTTAATTTATTATTGAATTTGCAAAAAGAACTCGATAATTTTTATCAGTTTTACCGAATAGGGCATAATGATCAAAGCATAACACAAATTAAGATTAATGAACTTCTTATTAAATTTTTAAAGTATAAAAACTCGGACTGTGTGCGTAAAAATCAAAATTAAAAATCACACCTTAGTGCAACCAAGGGCATTTGATATTATAACAATGCCGAAAATTCTTTCTTCATTTCACATCAAACCATAAATGACGAAATCTACACACAAAAATTCATTCGAGCCAAATGAAGGATACGCAGAATGAAGAAACATAAAAATACTGGACTCACAGCCATTTGAAATCATCTTTATTATTTATTTATAATTAGTTTGTACATACACATATCTACAAATGTATTCACAAATGCCAATGGTTTCGTATCTCTTAGGTTACAATTTCGGCACCGTCCATTTTTCAAAACAAAATCAACCGATGCAACTTCCTTCGTGCGTCAGAAATCGTAACAACGAATTTAAGCTAACGAAAAACACTGAGAAGACGATAATGTAAATACAACGAGAGAAGGGTAGCGTGCAGTGTGTACAAAAAGGGTCGGTACCAACGCCCTGTTTTCAAATTCGATCAAACTCTAATATTTATTCGCCAAAAAAAAATCCATAAAATCACTCGGACATCGAGCATCTTCAATTTTTCAATTACGTATACCATATAATCACGAATGCTATCTATATCCAACATGCACTATTTAACAAATGACAAGCCATTACATCGTCGTAATGTTTCTCCGCTATTAAAACGGTCTCCAGACACGTGTAAAGCACTTTGTACAATTCAAATTACACGTAACAAAATGAAACGTAACGTAATTTAACGAGCAACCTAATTGAGATCGGAAATAATGCTTTCTATGAATTCGAGAATGGATGATAATATCAAAAAATAAGATACAAATCTCGAAGAGATATAACACGGTGTGGAAAAACATAATACGATCTAAACAAAATATAACAAGTTAACAATAAACAGTTAACAACAGCGTTTACAACGTCCCTGTATTTAGAGTTGACCTATTAAACCTGCACAGAAAATACCGAAGTTTTTCCAGAAAACAGAACAAAAGCCACGATCAACTTGCTAGGGACAATACTAACGATCCTTACAGCATAAATCGACTAGCAACACCAACTTACAAGCTACACCACGTTATACACGTTCCATCGGCCAAAGTAGCCCCCCCCCCCCTCCGTACGGAGCAACAATAAATCGTAATTCGAATAATCATTACCTTGTTCCATGTGTTCACACATAGCACTAAATCACTGGTATAAAATTCATCGGTTCCATAATTGTACAACACATTTTACATGTCTCCTGGCCTCGCGTTCATTACGTTACGTTCGTTACGTCCAGAATAGTGCTGCTCGTGGTAGAAACGAAACGGTAATCGTGGGAGAACATATTGCAGAACCGTATCCGCGGGCCCGCTGTTCGAATATCGGAACAAAGCAATATAAGGCGTGGTGGGCGACCAGTTGTTGGTTAGGGAGGTAGGCGAAAACAAAGGCGAACGGGAGAAATTCAATGGTTCGCGTGGCAAGACAATCGGACCCGAGTGCCGTGGCCGACGGTCGAGCCGACAAAAAATCGGGAACATCGAAAATAAAAACAAACGGGAAGGAAAAAGGAAAAAAAAAGCGAACGAAGCCGAGCGAATGTAATAATTCACGGGGCTGGGTCGATACCGGATAAACAGCGTGCTGTCAACAAAATGTTCCGCGGGGATGGAAGGGACGCGGCCTCGGTGGAACGCGATCGAGAATCAAAGAAAAACTTTCCGCGGCCTGTGAGAATTCCACTTGGACCCGTGTAACGCGGGTCGGGGCGAGAACACGGGGCTGGGAGGGCACGGTTTGTGTCGTGCAGAGAAATCTCAGTCACTGAACGGGCCAGCACACACAGGCCCCGCCGTCCGTGGATGGACCGTACCGAGGGCAAACCGTTGCGTGCATCGGTGCACGGAAATATTTTCAGCCGATGATCGAACACCGTGGAGGATCCGTTGCGCGAGAGGCTGCCGCTCTTTTCCGCCGATCATCGGCGACACACATTCCCGTCGCTCTCGATTCACTCGAGCCCGAACCTAAACCCAAAGAGGATAGACAACACAACAAGTAGACGACACACGGAACAAGAGAGGACCAACCGCGTGTATGTTATATAATGTACCCGCGTACGTGTATATGCGTGAGAGTAAGTGAGCAAATAACTGAGAAAGAGAGAAATCGAGAAAGAGGTAAACGTGGAGAGAGAGAGAGACAGAGAGAGAGAGAGAGAGAGAGAGAGTGAGAGAGTGAGTGAGTGAGTGAGTGAGAGAGAGAGAGAAAGACTGCGAGGGTGGGTGAGGGAAAGAGAAATAGAGAAGAAAGAGAGAGAGAGAAGCAGAGCGAAGGAGAGAAGAGGACGCAAAGCAACGATGATTGCACGAAGGATGCGTTCGCGACGGAAGTACGAGGCACACTAAGGGCGTGGGCAACCGGAGCAAGGCCGGTGTTGAGTTCCGAGGGGAGGACCACATTGATTTTGATTTTCGAAGCGCGCGCATGAGTCGAGTCTTCGTGTTCAGCCCATTCATACGTATGGGACATTGGTCCTTGCCTACTAGATACTATTCTCTGGATCGCCACACGCCGCGTTCCGAATTTTTACACTTCCCAGCTCCTCCCAAACTACCCGGAATTTCGAAATCGAACACAAGATACTGTGTATTCGTACGGCGAAATTGATTTTGTCGCCCGCGAAACAACGGCGATGACATATACGCTAACATTTCTGCTGGTTTTCAAAATGTTTTTCAAACGATGAGGAAGGTGTTGCCTTCAGCCGCGTCTGCGAATTCTCTTTTATGGCTTCGATCGAGTCAAAACGCCTTCCCCGAAGCGGTAATTTGAGAGAGGAGTGCCTAAAGGAAAGAAGACGCGGGTGTGATACTAGGAACAATAAAGAGAGAAGCAAAGGCAATAGAGAATCAAACATATAATTTTTAATTGGCGATTCATAGTATTAATAGTACAACTTCAAAATTTTTCTTTAATATGCTTCTTAAATTCGTTATATGAGTATTGTATTTCATTTGAGTTATTTTATGTTATTTTAACTTATTTTAATTATTTTATTCTATGTTATTTCATCTTATTTTAGTTATTTCATTTTATTGGTATGTTGATATGTAAGGAGATGGACCACTTGTAAACCGTAAGGAAATTCAATAAAGTTCATTACTATAGAAACAATAGAAATAGTTTTAGCCAAGAAGGAATAAGGAAAGAAGGGGAAGGAAGAGATACGGGGGAAGGGAAAATGTGAGGCAATGTAATAAAATAAAGGAGTCAAGGTATAACGAAAAATAGAAATTTGTAAGGGAGGTAGATAGAGCGAAGTAGCTAGAAGAAAAAGGAAGGAAGAGTTCGCAATATCTTATGGCGAGAGCAAGGTGCGGTAATATGGAAGAGAGGAACATGTATTGGAGAACGGATGAGAAGATGCGATATTTGCGAAAGAGAAAGGATCAATGAAACACCTGTTAAAAGATTGCGAAGAGATGGAAGAGACAGATCTGAGTGTAGGAAGAGTATTGCGGGGCAAGACGGGAAAAAAAATTGTAGAATAGCTTAGGAATGTAAAAAATATAGTTTCTAGAGCGATACGTAAATAGATCTAGAGATGTATGGGATTGTACACAAAAAAATAAGGCCAAGATGTTGAATAAATTTGTTTCATTTCAGGCACCGTTTTCAAGAAAAATGAGTTTGAAAATTAAACGGAGACGCGTCTGTTGAATAGCGGAGATGATCACTGAAGCGTCTGATCAAGACCAACCGATTCTACTTATTGTAGCATACGCGAACCTGGCGTATCTCTATCTGATTCTTTTCTGATGCAAAACCTCAAATGAACAAATTTTATTCTATATTTTTGTTTTATTATTTAAGTGCAACCACAAGTAAGTTTTATGTATGACACCGTGCATATATTTGTAAAATCAAATAAACGTGTAAAATAATATTATATTTTCATTAATAAGGAAGTAAATAATTATTTGAAATTAACTAATGTAATACAGTTTAAGAAATGATCTCTAAAAACAGTTTCAGTTTCTATTTCAGATACTATTTTAACCAGCACCGCACTGACACTGGCGTACACAACAAGTAGGAGCGGTAAGCCGTGAGCAGACACTTTAGCCGTCCTGGCTTAAAAGTTTCTTTGGCACCCGTACCTTATGAACTTTTAAAATTGTTTTTCTTAAAAACGGAATTCTGTAGAAAAATGTTTTATCTCTTCGGTTTACTTTTTCATATAGTTCTAATTATACTATGAACACTAGATACAATCCCCTATATTTTTAGTTTTTGTGAACAATTTCGGATAAGTGAAAATGAATACATTTTCACTTATATGTTTATCAATACATTCTTTCCTGATTTTAGCTATTAAAATGAGATTCTTTATGCAAAATAGAAATTGCTTGCATTAATTAAACGGCACAGGAGGTGCACATGTAAACATACGCTTAATTTCTTAACAATTTTACATGAATATAAAAATTAATTTGAAAACAACTAGAAATTAGTTTTATTAAAAACAAAGCAACAGCGTTTCTGAACGCTTTAAATGCTTTCTAATGTTTTTTATTACATCACAAGATTTTTATTTTTATTACATTACAAGAAATATGATATACATATTTGAATTTACTTATTTTCTACTGCATTGTCGATTGATGTATCGATTGGAATTAATAGACATTTCAAATTTTTAATACTGAAAATAATAAACAACTTTTTTCCAGTTTTTCTTTTCCTCTAAGAAAATGTGCTGTTAGAAATTTTAGAAAATACAAATCCTACGCGTTCACATTTTATCGTAACTTACAGCCTATGCCCTTCTCTGGTATGAATACTGTATAAGGTTAACGTTACAATGAGCTATTGAAAGATCATGCCACTCGTATCGGCAGGCGGCCTTGTTTGCGCCTGAAGTGGCAAATGTTAAACACTATCTCTAGAAGCAGGTACAAAAGGTCTACGCCAACGAATGGCAAGGCTAAAGGTTGACAGTGTTCGGAATTTTACTTAAAGTTGTATCGTGAACCCAATCTTAACAGTCGTTGTTTACAATAAGCCGCGTTTAACAAGAACTAAATGTAAATAATAATTTCAATACATAACACCTTGGTTATTCCAGCTAAGATAACTAGATACAACGCTGAATTAAATATTTATTGATTTTTGGAATAAATATGGATCGACTTAGGTTGTATAGTATGTTTGAATAATATAGTGAATCGTTGTTAGACATTTTCTATATACTGGAAATAATAATTATAATTTATCTGAAGCGTGAGCTTCTGTTGAAACAAAGACACTTTAAAAATTAATTGTTTCAATATCAAACCGTATTTCTAATCTTATTAGAGCAAAAAGCTGAGTGACTGTTCTTTTGCTAAATCATACAGGGTGTTTCTAAACTGGTGGTCGAAAATAAAGAAAAACATTTTTTCGTTTGACTGATTGAATTTGGATATTAATCAGCTATGCGTGCTCTAGCATTTAGAAGTAGAACTGTAGTAGTAGAACTGTAAAAAATATTTTTTCTTCGACTTATTTTTTAATATGGATCACCCACTTCTCGCTTATACCTTAGTAGTAGTTCGAAAACACCATGTATTTTTACATTTTTCATTAAATAAATAAATATTATATTTACTTCCGCAAAATGGTAGAAAATACAAATTTTTCATTATTATAAAATAATGATTAGAAAGTAGCAAAAACACGGGGTGATTTTATGGAAATTGCAAATCGAAAGAATGTTCCAAATAAAAGTTGAACAATTTGAAAGAATCATAATTTGACATAATTATTTTTTTCTAGGTGAATGTGTAAATGTAAAAATAAAATTTTTATTAATCATTTCTGTTCAATTTTTA